TCAGCTACGCAACAAATCTCACTAAATGCTGTGACAAAAGTAAATGAAATTGCACTAAATCTACGGGGAATTTTCTTCAAAAATGTTCAACCTTTGCCTGAGCCCGAGCTGTGCCTGAAATTGGCTTAGGATTGTGCACAGCATCTATGCATCTCTTTCGTACGCCTTCTGGCGCCCTGTAATCAAAAAAGGTACGAACAGGCCTAGGCCAAAGTGATAAACCGTTTCCACTGACATCGCATATAAATCTGCGACAAAGTTGCGTCTTTCAGACCCATGGACAGCTCCAAATCGTGCCGGATTTGTCACGCCGAATTGTTGAAAATGGCGTGCGTTGTTTATTCGCTCTATCCCCCCTGTACCTACCCCACCCCCGCCTCCTATACCTCCTTTAGTTTAGCCAGTGAATTTTGCACAAAACACTGGCTGAAGCAAAAACAACAATATCTGAGCAGCTCGTCTCCGGCTGTGCTCGTAAATCTTCGAGTGGCTTATCTATAACAAAACTGTGTGCTTTTTAATTCGCTGCAAAAAATATGCAGAGACAAAAGGCAACACAAAACAGAGCAAAAAAAACCATGAAAATCCAGCAAATGTTAATGTTTATTTAAAATTAGGCACATGTTTAGCCTGCTGAAGCTGCTCTAAGCGCATTATGAATGCGAATATTATTTATAGAGGCAACAAACGTTGGCAAGACTTAGAAAATTATTGTCGAAATTAGGCTAAGAAACTGTCAGTGCTGTGAAGAGCAGGAGGATTTTCTGAAAAATTCCTGACAGCATTTTTATATATGTCATAATAGGATACTTATGATATCCTTGTTTATGAATATGAGCTAAATAAAATTTAAATGTTAAGCAACTTGTAACTAAAGCCTCAATGGTATTTAATAAAACAGTTGCTATTCAAAAAATATATTAAATATATTTTTTGGCAAAACAAAAGCTGCTCCAGTCACGAATAATATCGTATATTTAATAATATAAATGTATACAAAACTTGCTTATCGAAATTTAACGTCCCTTTTAGTGGGTCATTTATCATAAGGCCCAGACGCGCCAACACAATGCCACTGATTGGAACAAAGCGGAGTGGAGAGCTTATATACATGCATATCTGCGACTTGATAAACGAGATGTCACATAAAACATTTTGGCTTATTACGAAATAAGCGGCCTATATAATGGCCTGCATTAACACATTAGCAGGCAGGAGGAGTGGGGGTGGGGTGTGGGGGGCGGGTATACCAAAGCTGGCTGCTGAACTCCAATTATTTTAGTTTGTAATTGGAAAAGATGATTAGCATAAAAGCAATTGTAAAATTTATAATATATATGTATATATAAAAATAAACAAACACAGAGTAATTTGATGAATTTGATTAGATTTTGACGCGATAAATAATCGCATGCAAATTTATTTAAATGCATATTTACCCACGTAATTGCTGCAAATTTACGTTTCATTTAGCAGCACCAAAAAAAGTATAATATTAAAAAAAAAAAAGGACAGCAGGACACAGCCAAGCAAATGGCCAAATGGCGGCAATGAAAAAGCAGCAAACAGATTATAACTCCCAGCTGACATTGTGGGCTTTATTATTTGGCCATTGAAAAATGCGACGCTGGCTGGGCTCCGCGACCCAAGTGGATTTTAATTTTTCAAAGTTAACCCTCGGCGTGGGCGACCCTTTATTATTGTTGTTGCTGGTGTCGGCGGGTCGAGTCTGACTGGACTGGACTGACCGGGACTGGACCTAGCCAGGAGGGTGTACTGTGCGGAATTTGGCAGCACTTCATTTTAATGTTTACCTTTCCGAATGTTTGCTGATTGATCCCTTGGGTGGGTCAGCGTTTTGGGCCGGCGTAATTAATTTTGCTTTTTGATTTGTGCTAGGAAAAAAAGAGGACCAACAAATTGTCACGTAATTATATTTGTGTTAATGATGTTTCGTGCCAGCCATGAAAAGTCAATTAATATTTTGGAAAATTTAGATTTGACATCAACATCAGCGCCATGAGCGACGTGTCGGCAAGCGGCACGCGGGTTCTTTAATTAAAATTTGCTTGGCCGCAATTTTAATGCATGCTGTGATTTTTAATTTTCATTGAAATTGCAGCCGTCTCCCAAAATCTGTTATATATATAATATTTTTTTTTTCCATTTGTATTTTTCGTGCAGTCATTCAACTCGAGTGGGGCACGCGACTTTAAACCTTTGCCAGATGTGGCCGATAAATGCCAAATGATTGCTCCATTAAATTATATGAGCGTGAAGTAGCTATTAGCCGCTGCTTAAGTCGAAAACCAGTTTAGCTTTTTACCGGTAGCCGTCGAGCAGACCAGCCGTAACGGAATCAAAACAATAACAAATACATGAAGCATTATTCGGGTGTGAAATAGCTACTGAATGTATGCATAAAGTACTCAAGCAAATTGCTTGGCTTGAGTGCCTCCAAAAATACCTAAGACTTAACTGTCGATTTGTAAGTCATCTTTAAGCCTTTCCCTACATTGAACATGTTTAAGCTCATCTTTTAAATATTTATGATAATGTTAATATCATAATGCTTGTTCGACTGCTAAGCTTCACCTTACGGATTGGGCTCTATTCTCACATAGCGACGCATATGTCAGCGTTTTTAATTGCAAACTTTTTCGTTCAAGCCGTGTACTATCACTCATACGTAATGTTACAGGACTTGGGCTCACATTACGCATACGCCATGTAAGACGACAATGTTCGCATTGTATGTGAATGTGCTGCCGCTCTGTCTGCCTGTTGCGCTCATTATGTACGTGCTGGAGCTGCCAGTGCTCCATGATACCTCAGATGGTGCATATTCAAGCCATGGCTTGAATCGTGCATACGCGATCTCTGAAGGTGCGTGCATCAGTATGAATTACTATTAATGGTGTGCAGAATAAATTGATTTTCATTGCATGACGACGTCAATTAAAAACATGTAAAACTCAATTGCCAATGACGTTTTTAAAATGCAGTCCAGCCATCAACGACATGGCAGACGCCCGCGTGCACACCGGCGGCTATGCAAGAAGAGGAGGCGCCTCTTAATGAGTCGGCAAATGGCTGATAAAAATGCAGGGGGAATATGAAAAACGTTAAATGCCAGCCATTGAGTTGCCGTTGCTGTTGTCGCTGACATCGGTACGTGGCTCGCAAAGTTCCCGAAACTGACAGGAAACATTGATAAAAGTGGCAATAATGATTCGATTCGATTCGATTCGCTCGGCTTAATGACCAGCCATTAAATGAATCACGCCGTGAGCTCTTTTAAATGATTTAATACACAGCATTTAATAATAGTCAATGGAAAAGTTTTTTAATCAAACTTGCTTGCCCAATTTTAAATGAATTTATAACTTTGAAGGAAATGAAGAAAAAAAATATAAAACACAAATAAATAGTTTTGCATTTTTTCAGTATGTTTCAAAATACTTGCGGTGGTACTTATTCGCTTAAGCAAAAAGCCCATTAACAATTATGACTTTCCTTTCGCCGTCAAAGTAGTTGAAACTTAAAAGCAAAGCTCACTAGCCTTGAATCGAGCGCGGGACTTTTGTTTAAGACCACCAACAGTTTGTATGGCTGCACTGTTTCCATGTATATAAGGAAGAAGACGCCTTGGCTTTGCCTCATTTCCAGTTTTTACTTTTGAAGTTTTTAATTCTTTGAATCTTAATGACTTCTCGTAATAAGTTTTCATTTCTCGTAATTTCTTAGGTTAATAGAATCTTTCCAGCTTGCTGCTGCAGTTGCCGTGTCGAGTAACAATAAATGAAATGACAGTGGGCAAGGCCTAGCACTTAGGGAAAACTGTAATGAAATTTAAAAATGTTTAATCAAAGTACGAAACCACGCTGTTCCGTAAGAACTTTAAATAGATTGCAGCCAATCGCTTCAAATATTTGAGCCTGTCAGACTGTCGGTCTATGGTCGATCCCACTGTAAGTACACTGCTCATTGAAACTTTTGTGCTGGCAGCAAAAAAAAAAAAACAAAAAATAAAGAAAATCATTATTATGAAGTTGACACAAAGTCAGTCAGCAGCAGCAGTAGCTGCCAGGAAAAACGCAGACGATAATAATGACAACGACGACGATGTTGAGTCCTTGCGCCTGCCTGGAATTCCCAGCTATAAATGCTATTCAAAGGGAAGCGCTAGAAATGCATAAAAGTCGACTACATAAAACGCAGCAGGACCTCAGTTGACATTTATGCGAACCGCAGGCTCTGGCTTTAAGTTACAAAACGGCCAAGTGGAAAATGAAAATAAGCCGACTCGAGAGCATTGCAACTCTGAGCCCCGTTAAATACTTCGGAAGGCCAGCTAAGCCCACATCATCGTCATCCTTGGCCGCGGCTAATCATAAATTCAAAAGCGGCAAAAGTGCAACGCAGTAACAATTAACTTATTAAATTGGCTTTGGGGCCAAAACAAAGGCCAAGCGGGCAAAGGAAACGACAGTGCAAAGGAAGTGCGCGTAAAATTTGTGAAAATGAAAGCGACCGGGGCGTCAAGATGGCCAACACGAAGTGAAGTACTGTAAACGGAAAGCAGGGCAAGACCAGCTCACCAATCCACCGGCCCGGCCCCTAGCTAGTTTTTTACATGCGTCCTGCGATGTCTTCGCTTCCGTAGTTGCTTCACAGCCACGTGGCGTAATTCATTTAAATGCGGCATCTTCAAAGTGCTTGTGCTTGCGACCCTAAGCTCCTGTAGCGCACCCTTGATTGCCAACGACATTTGCTAATTAGCGAAATTGATTTGGAATTTATGATGCGCAAAATAGTCGGACTCTCTGTGGGTTGTCTCTAATTGAAACTTAATGTTTTGCATAGTTCCTTCAATTTACCGGCAGCTGTTTACACAACTCAAATCAAACTCATTCTTATTGTTGCATATTACATATTTTTCAACACTTCCTTCCCTCTCTTTTTGCAGTTGTTGTGACATTTTGGCAACATAAAACGCAATGGCGCCAAAGATGACGCCATTCTCGCTGCTCGACAAAATGGCGACGACGAGGACGCTCGCATCTTCAGCGGAAGTACACTGGCTCTGCCGATTGCTGCTGCTCGGCGTTTGCATTGGCGCCGCCGCAGCTCGAGGTAAAATAGATTTTATTTCAACATATTCACAATCTATTTATACAAATTATGCCACGTTTATGCTATGAAATTCATAACTACAGCAATTACTCTTATGAATTTAGTCGTTTTCTACTTCATTTTTGAGTTTTGCGCGATCTGGCAACACGGAACTTGTGCATGTGCATGTTAAGTTGGCTGCGCCTCGCAGTTTGCAAATTTCAAGTTGATTTTACAAAATACTTTTGCGAATTCATGAAAAGTTTGCACAAAATGAACATGCCATAAACCTGCTAGGAAATCGATTTATACAAGCGTACGGGAATATACATCGAAAAATATCATGAATGCGTTGGTCAAAAGTGCATGCAAAAATTCATTTGGCAAAGACTTCAAAGTGTTACCGGCGGCGTATTGCGCGAAAACTAATTATCTGTCAAAATCATATTGCCAAACAAGTGCACAAGCATTGTCCTTTTTTGTGCATTGTGGCCTGCGGATAAATACACAAGCGAATATTAATAATTAAAATGTTAAAAGTGGCTGAAAAACTACTTGTATAAATATATATATATAAATATATATGATACCAAGGCTGTGCTTCTACAGTTTATGAAATATTTAAATTATTGTCGCGTCAATTATTATCAGTTGTGTGCGCTACAAATATTGCAAATTTTGTTTTAAAAATAAATGCATATCCCAAGGCTGTGCTAGTTTTTCAGGGCAAACTCATTATTTAAGGATATGCTGCGTTTCATGTCCTTGTGTGCGGCAGGCCTATTTTTTTTTTATATTATTGATTGAATTTCATTATGGAAGCTGAGTGGCACTTCGACTTTGACGGACATTTTCAGGCTTCGAGTCCATACTCTTGACTACTTTGAAATTTTAATCAGCAATATATCAACATGGCATCAATTCAAATCATATTCAACTATGCCATAAATATGCAGCGCGATTAAGCAATTCACTCAATGGACAATGTTTAAAAAAATGAGGACAATGCACTGAAATTGAGTCTGTGCAACAGCGCAGACTAAATCCTGCCAATGAAATATGAGTGACAAAATCACACAGCCAATGTCACCAGGGCTTACATGGCCGTTTCGCTAGCGACAAACTAAATCCTTCGTCTCGACATACAACCGCGACAACCACAGCAACAACAAATGCAGCAAAAACAAGTTTAAGTGTTGAAATCGTGTCGGTTCTATTGTTAAATATCCTGTGATCACTTTTAGGATTAAATTCTGGAATAACTTAGGTATAGCCAAAAATTATAATTCAAGGAAATTCGGTTTAAATTCTTCTAACTTTTATATTGTCAGATGTCAACATGCTCATAAGATAGACAGACAGACGGGCTTCAAGTGCTTTAAAAGGGTAGAGAACTAATTCGATCTATAGCAATTATTCGTAATTTTCTCAACCTAATCATACCCATTAGTACTGGATAAAGGGTAGAGGGTATTAAGTAACGACGATGAATTTTTAAAAAACATATATGTAGGTATTTCTATGGCACATCATGCATAAACATACTAACATATACATATCAATCCCATACAGTACTCGATGCTTGACCAGCATCAAAAGAAAAAAAATTGAATTTGCGATGCAACGAATGCGGATCACGTGATTGCCATGGATATGCCGTGGGATGGCTGGCTGTTGGTGGTGGTGGTGGTGGTGCTGCTGCTGCTGCTGCGGCGGCCAGCAACTCATGGCAATTTCATAGCCATATTGCGACAATTTTTATTAAAATTTAGAATTTTTCAATTTATTTAGCACTTCTCTCGGGCGCTGTCTGTGACTACACGCCACGAGTCGACTCGCCTCGACTCTCCGGTTGCTGCTTGCTTTTTGATTTGTTGCAGCTGCGTGAAATTGGTCAGCAAAAAATGGCAATGGACACCGTACGTGATTTGAATTTAGTTTGTCCATTCTCCCATCTGCCCACAAAAATAAAGGAAAAGGAGTCAGCATTTTGTTTGTTATTTAAGCGAAAAGCGATTGCCAGCAGCTTAAATGCTGCCTAACCCGCAAATGGCCAACAGGAATTTAAATTGAATTAGCCATTTCAGTAATAATATAGCCAACTATCATGGCCCCTTTGCATGTTGCGGAATTCCGATGGGCATAAGGCACTGCGCTGCCAAAGGATCCAACGTGCAGACACACAATTCCCAGGGGCAACCACTCAGGCACAAGGAGCAGCAATACACAGTTGCCCGCCACTGCATGCCGGACTCGGTAAAATCAAATCTGCAGTGGCACATGAAACAAGTGAAAGCAAATTAAAAATTGCAAAAACTGCTGAAGCATTTGTTTTGCAGATGTTCCTTCTTCTGGTTTTTGTTGTTGTTGTTGCAGCTGCTGCTAGTTGACTGCCCCCGCACTGATGACTGTCAACATGCTGATAAGTGTTACAGCCGTTGGTTGCCAGCTCCAGGCAGTTACCGGGACATCCTTGTTTGTCTTTCCGTTCGGTCTGCTGCTCTCGCTGTGCAATCCACTGACCCAGGCAAATGCTAATTTTATTATGACAAATGCGCAAAGTCGAGGCGAAAGTGTCGCATTCTCTTTTTTCATTTTATTGCACAATTTATTTTCTGAACTCAAGTGAATCAGCAGCTCATTCAATAACCTTTAAGCGCTACCTTTACACAACTGTTGTCAGCTGTCGTTAATCATTTATGATGCTCACTTCATGCTGCGATCAGTGTTCGCCACCGTCTTACACATGGTTTTAATCGCTTGAGGCTTGAGCACTAATTTGCAAAACACAGGTTTGAGCAAATAAAACAGGGACCATAACTTATGGAACTCACCGTGAGCGGCTAATTGAAAATGATCGCACAGAACGGCAACGATAGGCTTGGAGCAGCTGCAGATGGTCGGCTCGGTCAAGTAGCTGCGCTTAACTTAAGTAGACATTTAGTTGGCATTACAGCAACGCCCACAGAGGGTGCGGCGGTGAGGCACTGCATCGCAAGTCCAGCTAACAACCTTGTTGGCACAACTTCAACACCAGTGCAGCAAGAAATTGTTAAACAAACCGACCGTAAGTCGAGATTGCAACCAGTTGCCTCTGCGCCTGCGCAGCTGTCAGCTCTAATCTAAATAAGCGATTTGTCTTCGCATAACTTTTGCCTTAACCGGATCGCAGGCTCCAAGCAGAGTGTGGCATGGACTTAGCCAACCGCTTCGAAGTTGTCTTTGCCGCAGCCTGACTAAATAATAATTTGTATAATTTATTCCATGGAACTCTAGGCGGCAGTTCAGGAATTTACAGCGTGATAGCTTCTTATGGCCAGCTGCCTGGTATTCCAGCGTCGCACTTCAACTGATACTCTTATAAATAATTAACACGTGCATAGTTGCATCTTAAAGTGGGAAGAGTTAGCATTGCAATTTGAAGCTTCTTTTTGTTTTGTTTTTCCTTTTTCTTTTACTTTCTTAACTTTGTGATGGTAGGTAAATTACTCAGCTTCCGGCAGACATTTGAGTTCGTTAGTGCAGCAACAGCTGCTAAAGATACATATTTCTATTGTCTAGCTTAGCAGAAAGTCAGGGTCTAATAGGCACATTCACGGCTAAGTCCGCAGCTAAGAAGAGAACTTCCGTGTCCTTGGGCAAACCTTTTTGTCAACAACTCACTGAGTTACTTCACATCTGAAAGCTGTCTGCCCAATTATTAATTTATAATATAGTAGTGTCTGGCATATTATAGCTCAGCCGTTAATTAACCATTTTTTAGCAGTTTTGAGCAAAGCAGCTCGCCAGAAGCTATGACAGACTATTAAAAATTGATGCATGATTCAGAGCGATAATGAGCTATAGACTTGCCTCATTTTTTTGCATGACTTCGGAATTTTGGATTATATCTTAGCAAAGGCAATCCAAGCCGATTGTTTCAGCTCGGCACAGATTCACAATGCCAACAATATCCAAGTAACAAGAGCAACAGCTCGGCTGTTAATGAATTGCCGCCTGCTGCTCGGCTTTTAGTCAGCTCTGCCACAAAAGCATTTCGAACAAATTTTGATAATTGTTCACTATTATTATTATTTATTTACAATGTACCCCAACATTGCTGCCACCCCTCGTTGTCACTAGCGTTTCATGCAGAGAGCTGTAGACAATAGACTTTCACAGGCAACCGAGTCGCCCGCCTGTCTAGTGTCTAGATTTCTTCCTGCCTGGCATCCCATGGATAAAATTTAAGCAGCGGGTGGGCGTGTGTGAGTGTGCGCGTGTGTGTGTGTGTGTCTTTTCATGTTCCTATGCAAAAAGCAAGCGGCTAACACATACATTCATGCTCACTCAAACACACTCATGCACGTGCCGGTTGAAATTGTATAGAATTGTTGCTGTTGCTGTTGTAATTGTTATTCTTCTTGCGGCATTGTTGCAGCTTAATTGAAAATATTGTAACTACAACGTTACGTTTGTAAGTGTGTGTGCGTGTGTGTGTCTCTGTGTGTGTTTAGTAATCGCTTGCAGCATTTCGTTGCGCCGCACTACAAATGAAATTAATTGAATCCCGCGGGCTGTGCACAAACTCCCACACAAACTTCCCCACACACACACATACACACACATACACACACACATACGAGCACACACACATTGTTCCTTAATGCTGAGTAAAGTTACTTAAGCATGCGAATATCTAACTTTTCACGCCTAATAACTGCCGGCTATTGACGTTTCCCTGAGAATTGGCCAACTTGCTGAGCACGGTGAGGGAAACAAATGAAATATAACTTTAAATTGGGCATAGTTAAGTAGACTGCAGTGTCAAATCAATAGGTAATGCTTATAAAGCCTTTATTAAGAATGCAGTTCTGTTGATAAAGCCAACAGCCATGTGCCAACAATGTAATTGGGACAAGATAAAAACTTTTAATTAAAGAACTTCAAAGTTTGTTATTTCATTATTTTGCTATGTTATGAAAAAAATTTAACTACAAGTAAGCAATTAATTGCAAACAAATTGTATTTGGATGAAAAAA